TTAATTTCTTCTTTCAGTAATTTGTAGGGGCCGGGAAGATGGCTCAGTAGAATCAGTGCTTGCCTGGCAAGCACAGGGGCCTGAGTTAGAACCCCTGTTCCAAAAAAAAAAAAAAAAAAAAAAAAAGTAGTTTTAAAGTAACCACGGATCATGCTAAAGATGCAGTTCAATGGTCCTGGGTTCAATTCTTAAAACAAAAGAGCACAACTTGGAGTTTGGGAGAAAGTTAATTTATGTGACTATATGCTTAGCAAAGTTTAGGAATTATTTTAGGGGCCAGGTGCGTAGCTCAGCAGATTAAAGCACCTACAAGGAGGCACAGGGGTCGGGGGTTCGATCCCTGGGCTTGCATACCAGTCCTACCCCGGGGGGTTGGGGGCTGAGATGGCAATTGAGACTGGGCGTGGTGGTGCAGGCTTGTAATCCCAGTACTTGGGAGGCTGTAAACAGGTGGATCACTATGAGTCCGATCTAGTAGCGAGGCCCTGAACACCCTGTAGGCCCTTCCCTAAAAAGTACAAAAGAAGAAAAAAATTATTTTAGAATCTCTCCTCTCTGAGCTCACCGGAGGCGCTCCAACCCCCGGCCCTCAGGCCACGAGGCTGGGGTGCTGCACACAGTGGCCTCTGCGCACGCGTGCGTCGTGTTGTTTGGAATGGAGAGAAGAGGATGGGTTTTGTAAGAGGAGCAGAGGACGGCGAGATAACGAGAATGACGGGGGAGCACGGGAGAGCAAACCCTGTCCCGGGCGCAGCAGCGGGCCTGCGCCTTCGGGCCCCGGGGCGCTGCCCACAGCCGGGCGGACCGCGGGCGTTTCCAGTCTGACAGGGGCTCCATCCAACCTCACCACTGGCTTCGAATGTCGAAAGAGATGTCAGTATCCGTGATTCATTCCTTGCTTGCAGTGCTGCTGGTACTAGAGACAGAGCCCAGGGCCTCCAGGGCCTTATACGAGCAACATCCCCTGCATTGTTCTGTTTTGTTCTGGGTTTTCCTTTAATTTTAAGTCAGGCTCTTACTAACTTGCTAAATTGCCCTGCCTGGGCTCGATCTCGCAACCCCCTTCACATCCTCCCACCACGCTGGTGCGGCAAGCCTGCACCACCACACCCAGCCAGTGTTCTTGGTTCTTAGTGCGCTTCCCCTGACTAACCAAAATAGCAGAGTGATCTATGAGGACAGTATCACACGAAATGTTCCTAAATCCTCGGTGTCCAGCCTCAGAGCGCACACTAATGTAGGCTCACTCCCTCCAGGAACAGGTCGCTGATATTTGCTAGTGTGACTGCAGCCCACCAAACAGTTAAGATGAACTTGGTAAAATGTTCCTGCATGTAGTATTATATATTATGTGACTTATTTTATTGCAGGAATAAATAAATACGAATGCAAAATGTATTTGAATCACTATTGTTTTGCAAGCCAAGACAATGATAGCAGTCTTAGCACAGGTTACAGTGATCCCCCGACCCCGCCCTGTGCTGCCCACAGCATCCTTCTTAGCCTTTGGCTCCCGCAGACTCCTTCCTCCCTCAGAACCAGCTGTTTCTCCCAGCGGGCTACCTCTGCTCTGCATAATTCTTTAGAATCTGCTGATCCCCTCCAACCTCATGCCTTCCTACTGCACAAAGCGCAGAGTCCTGCACTGCACAGCCCTGTTCCCCACCGCACTCTCGCTCTTGGACACCACTCACTTATGGAGCCATCTACACGAGCCTGCACGGAGCAGAGGCAACCATGAAAAGAGGGAGGCCCCTGCCTGGGGAGGCTGTGCAGGCAGGGCATGGGCAGCAAAAGAAGCGGGGATGGGCAGCAAAAGCGGGGATGGGCAGCAAAAGGGGGCGTGAGTGTCCATAGCGTGAGATCGTGGGCTGGACACGACTGAGTGCAGGGAGGTGCGATGCTTGTGATTTCCAAAACCCTAAAACCAAATTAAGTGTTCTATGTCACTATATAAAATCATTTAATACCATAATAATTTCTGCATATTCCTGAAGCAAGTGAGTTGATTGTTCAATGTTCTACAATGATTTTGAGATAATTCAAAGCTTATATTATATTTGATATACCAACAGCTAACGCAAAAGCATAATGATTAGTGCACTATGTGGCCATTAAGTACTTGTTAGATGAAGGCATCTTTATTCTAATTAGAGATAATTTAATGCATGTTATTGTCCAAACTAAATCTGTTTATTCTTTTGCTATGTTTATCCAATATTCTCAGATACATTTTTGTATTCTTTTTTCACTAAATACTAAAAACCACTTCATTATTAACGATAAAACATCATATACAAAAGCATATGGATTTTTTAGAACTGCTAGTTTGGGAGCTCTAAATAATAAGCTGTAACCTTCAACTGGTAGCTTGGTGCCCTCCCAGAATTGGGACAATGAATCCTGTTTGTTCTTTTACTCCCAAAGCAAGTCATGAGGCTGCTGCTACTGCCTTCTCCGTTCAACCCAGATGCAGACATGGGAACTGTGGGTTAGAACCGCAAGATCACCACCATCTCCGTGTTCTGTAAGGTAATTTGTTTACCAAGACTTTACACATAAATGAGATCATACAGTGTCTGGTTGCTGCCCCTGGCTTGCTTTGCTCATGGCAGCCCAGCCCCACGCTATGCATCCGTGACAAATGGTGGCGCTTACTTCGCCTAGTGTCTGAACGGAATCCCCTTGTGCATGCATATCGGCTTTCTTTGTCCGTTCATCAGATGATGTGTCTATTTCCTGTCCACTTAAGTTGATTTCATTTCTTGGCTGTTTTAAATAATGCTGCAGGAAACACGAGTTTAAATGTTCTTTCAAAATAAGAATTAAGATAAGGGCCTGCCACCTTATAAAGTTATCCCAAGAATATTTGGTAACAGAGCTCTAATCCAAATGGAATGCCCATCTCACCATCTCTTAATATCAATTAAAACATGTCCAGCTCTCAGTATTTGTGTGTGTGTGTGTGTGTGTGTGTGTGTGTGTGTAATCAGGGATTGAACTCAGGCCCTTGTGCTTGCCAGGGAAGAGCGTATGGCACTGAGCCATCACCTCTGCCTCCAGCTCTCAGTATTTTAAAGATCGGCTAATATAACTACAATGGCAGATCTTTATTTATTTATTTTTTTGACATAACTGCGGATTGAAATCAGGTCCTTGTACTTGCCAGAATAGTGCTTATTCTACTGAGCCATCTACTCGGCCCCTCAGATCTTTAAAATATTCAAATGTCTGAGTCATTTCAAGTATCAACTGCTGTTCCATGTTTTCTTGCTCTAAATCGTATTTCATTCATAAGAAATATGTGTCATTCACATTCAGTGTGAATCATTCAGTGTTTGTGGATGTTTGCTGCAGTGCTGTGGATTGTGCTTGAAAGCACACAGCTCGGGTGCCAGGGTAATTTCTCTGGAGTCAGAGCACATAGGTGTTCATCTTGGTTCTTCCAAGATGAGACATGTAATCCTAGCTGCTATTATTTTCCCTTCCTGAATTGCTTCCTTATTAACTGTACAAAGATAGTAATTTTAAAGGCCTGACATGGTTTGAGATCATGCTATGGAAGGTGTAGCACAGAGCTTGCCACAGGCCAGAGGTCTGAGGAACAGGGTTGTGACATTCCTTCGCTTTGGCAGAAGCTACAGAAGCTAACGATTCTTTAATCGGACAGATCACACGAAAGCTTTGCTTGCTTATCCAGGCTGTGCACAATTCTGTCAATAGCCTAAACTCCTCTAACGATATGCTAAATAAAGCTGCATGAACAGGAAAAGGTCCAGACTAGATTTGTGGACCTTCACAGAAACAATATTCATAGGGCCGGGGAGATGGCTCAGTAGAATAAGCTCTTGCCTGGCAAGCGCAAGGGCCTGAGCTCAATCTTTAGTACCACAAAACCCCCCAATATTCATGTATGCCTTTCTTTAGATCAGAAATACAATGTAATCACTGAAAAACTTAACAGCAAAATGTTGCAGGCAAGTTTTCAGCCCCTTGAACCCTCTTGCTGAATTCACCTAAGCATAATAGTCTCCAAGGCCAGGAGTTCATGGCCATAGCTGTCCAAGAATGAAATTCAAGTCTGTAAAACAAAAGAGAATGCCTCAAAAGATTTGCACATTAGCATTTGGACATTAGCGTTTAGTCATTCTTTTCTAGCTGTCTCCATTTTTCTTGAGCATCTTAGGAAAAATTCGTTCTGTCTAAATATACACTAATATTTACATAATTTATCTGATTTTTAATAACAAAACAGATATATTGAAGCTAAATGTCTTGCTTACATTTATAATGTAATAAAGAAAACCCTAGGTTTTTTGTTTTTAAATGCAATTCTCTTGCATTTATATGAAGTAAGTAAGATAAATGCCTCACTCTATTTTAGAAATGTATTTGTCAAACTAAATATATGCCAATATAGATATTAGTTAAAATTTTTTATTATTCAGGCAGCAATAAATTTGTCAATGGTCACATGGATTTGCAGCCTGAAAATGTTATATTGGACTTTTTTTCTTGGACCCTTCCTCCTGCAGTCAGCCCTGCTCGACGGAGACTTACTGCTCCATGCATTCCTGCCTATATGTGACTCCAGAAGGGCATCTAAATACATCAGACTATTAAATGAGGTATTAACATAGCAATGCTGTTATTTTTTACTGGATATTTCAATATAGCAGTGGAAATATCTTCAAGCAAGTATCAAGTCAAAATGACAATATTGATATATTTTGAAGATGCTTATTTTCTACAGTTTTCTTCTCACCCAGCATCTTCAGGTTATTTCGGTCACCATGGAAGAATGCACACCAGAGAGTAGAATCTATACAGAGAATCAAGACTATTATCTGGAAATCAGAACTCTACCCAGTGGGAATTTACACCACAGAGTTGTATCAAATTACTGAATAGTCACACATTTGTGCGCGCACACACACACCCTACCTTCATTCTTAGTGGTTCATTCTATGAAGTGTCCACCATTTAATCACCCAGGAAGGATGAACCACAGTGTTGTTACTGAGTTCCTGATCCTAGGCCTCACTCAAAGCCCTTCACTCCAGGGAATTCTCTTCGTTGTGTTCCTCTTCATCTACCTGGTGGCGCTCCTGGGCAATATGTTCATTGTGGTGGCAGTTGTCTACAATGCCAGTTTGCACACCCCCATGTACATTCTCCTTCTGGCCCTGGCTACTGTGGATATCATCTGCACTACCACCATCATACCAAAGATGCTGTGGGCCATGCTGACATCCAAGAAGACCATCTCCTATGGGGGCTGCATGTCCCAGCTCTTCTTCTTCACGTGGTCGCTGGGGGCTGAGATGGTCCTCTTCACCACCATGGCCTATGACCGCTATGTGGCCATCTGCTTCCCCCTTCACTACAGCATGATCATGAATCACCACATGTGTGTGGCCTTGGTCAGCATTGTCATGGTCATTGCAGTCACCAATTCCTGGGTGCACACAGGTCTGATCCTGAGGCTGAATTTCTGTGGGCCAAACACCATTGACCACTTCTTCTGTGAGATACCACCACTGTTAGCTTTGTCCTGCAGCCCCGTGAGAGTCAATGAAGTGATGGTGTACGTTGCAGATATCACTCTGGCTGTAGGAGACTTTGCCCTCACGTGCATCTCCTATGCCTTTATCGTTGCTGCCATTCTCCACATCCGCACAGCAGAAGGCAAAAGAAAGGCCTTCTCAACCTGCTCCTCCCACCTCATAGTGGTATCCCTGTATTACTGCCCTGTCATCTACACCTACATCCGCCCTGCTTCCAGCTACACATTCGAGAAGGACAAGGTGGTGGCTGCACTCTACACTCTTGTGACGCCCACATTAAACCCCATTGTGTACAGCTTCCGGAACAAGGAGATGCAGACAGGAATTCGGAACGTGGTCTCACTTCTGAAGCTCTAGTGGCTCCAGGAGAGAGCACTCCTCTCTCCTCTCCAAATGTTTATCAGAACATCTCCTGTCTGGCAGATCTTTCTTCATCATCTCCTTCCCCAATTCTCCCTTATTATTTTTTTTCTTCCCTTTCCCTGCTTTCTTGTTCTCCATCTTCTAAAAATGCATGACTGCTTTCTAATTATGCATACAGCACACATTGTGTAATAAGACTATTTGTACAGCATATGTATGTATACTAAATATAAACATTACTCTCAATATTGTGAATTGACTAGTGTATGAATCAACTCATGCCTCCAATTTACCCAGCAAGAAAATGTGTTTTCATATTGTAAAAGATATTTTTAAGCAAAAGTACAGCTTTCCTTGAAATCTATGTTATGGTCAACATTCAGCTTTAATATGTTTTTAGCCCATTCATACATTTTTCCATACTACTTTGCAAATAATCTAGTTCATTTCATTGTTGCTTGATTTAGATTTTTTATTCCATGTGTACAAGAACTCTGTGTTACTGTTGAAAATGTTCTACATAACATTTAAGCCAATTTTTCATTAAATATCTACGTCACCGCAAAATCCAACTCCTTTCCTCTGTGTCTGCACGTGGAGGAGCATGCACTGTTGTGTGGAGGTGAGGACAGTGGGCTGGAAGGACTGGATGGGGATTCTGTAGTCCAGTTTGGGTAGGATTACAGAAGTGCAATCTCCCCTCTGTGGCCAGGGTGGTACTGAAGGTGCTGTTGGCTTCCTTCAGGTAAGGAAAGGCTGACCCCTTGCCAAGTGCTCACTGGGAGCCAGTGTTCATTCAGAATAAGTGGAAAGAGGAGCTCAGCCACATTTGGACAACACTGGACCTTGTCAGTGGTCATAGACTGGTTTGTTCTGGCTTGACTCTTTCTTACTGACCTTTTCTGAAGCTGCTGTTCTGTGGAGATTTAATGTTGCCTGTACTGAGTCACGGCCTTGCTGCGGCCCTGACCTACCTAGCACATAGCTGTTGCTCCTTCAACTGATAATCCATGATCTCCTCTTCTGTGCTTCTCATTAAAGTCAGACACAGAAGTCAGATTAAATAGGTCCATAATTGACAGAATTTAAATGTAAAGCAATTACCCAAATATTCCCCTTCTTCTGAAATTAATTATAAGCATTTTAAAATACTGAGGTGGATCTAGCAAGAGAGTTCAGTGGACTAAGTCCCTGCTTAGGCAAGCCCTGGGACTGGGGTTTGATCCCCAGTACCCCATGCCCTGCCGGCTCCACCTCCAGGTGCACTGAGCTGACCACTGAGTCAGGGCACGTTGGCGCATGCCTATAATCCCAGTGCTGGGGAGGCTGAAAACAGGGGTATCACTGTGAGATATGTAGTGAGACCATGTACCAAATACATAAATTTAAAAAGATAATTACTGAGACCATCATCATTTGAAACGTTAAAATTTATTTTCTCAGCTTTCTTAATGTAGAGTTGAGGAGTGAAAGGCAAATAACCTATGATGTACAAAGTAATGTTTTGACATATTTATGAATCATAAAATAATGAAGTTAATATACTTAATTAACTTTTATCATTTTATCATTTCTTTGTGGGAAGAATACTTATCATTCACCTGCTTGGTAATTTTCAGGTATACCATATACTACTAACCACTATCATCATGTTATGAACTACATCTTCAAAACTTATTCAGTTTTTAAAAAACCTCAGTCCACACTTTCATGAGATGCAATAAAGTTTTAGAGCCCCTGTCATAATAGTAAAAAGATGTGACACATGTCCAAAATAAATTCTGCAGGGTCACTGTTGCCATTCCAGAAAGGAAAACTAGGTGAATGTTAAGGGTAATCACAAGAAGACTAAAACCAACAGAGAAGCACTGAATCCTGTAGCTCTGCTTCCCGCTCATATACAGAGTTGCTGGATGTGAGGCCCCAGGACGAGGGTGGCTCCAACTCCCTGGCCTTGCTGGCTGCAGCCTCCAGGGCTTCTCTTCCTTTGTTCTACATTCCAGCATCTCCAGCTTCTTGGGATCTTTGCCTTTGCCCTCACAGCTTCAGAAAACCACAGTCAGAGACCAAATCCCATCTCACTGATTGGCCTCATGCTTTCTTTGAATTTTTAGTGAAAACTTTAGTATGTCTTTAGCTCTTGAGTATTGTATGCCTACAAAACCAGCATCATGTGGACAAGGACAAGGTCCACTGTGGGCATTAGCCTTACCTGAGCCCACTTGGCCTACAGTGGTTTGGCTGCTGACTGCCTTAATAAATTAACCCACAAAAACAAAACCCAGGTAGAAGTCCCTGTAGGTGGCTGTGTTAGTAGAGTGTCCCCTCAGGGCTCTCTTCTGAAAGGGAGATGAAGGAAGGTCACACATTTACACTGTCAGCACTGAGATGAGTTCCTGAGATGCCCTCAAGAGTTCTTTCTTGCTGCCCCGGTACAAAGTATGTAGATCATTTCAACAGTGTGAATCTCTTAAGCAAATGCTCCTTGTTTTACAACACCTTAAAATGCGTCTTTAAAGGGTAAATAAAATCTAAAGGGTACAATAGACACTGTGAACAGGAAAATAATTTGTTCAAAGGGAAGGATAGACTGGGGTGAGGAAAAAGACAAGGGGGAGTGAAAGAGATTGTGTGTGTGTGTGTGTGTGTGTGTGTGTGTGTCCTTTTAAATTTCTTAAAATGTTTTTCAACCAATTTTGCATGCTTATGTCTGGTAATCTTAACAAGTAATTTGAAGACAATATTATGCAATACAACAACCATTGTCAAATTCCTTTTTCATTTGGTGAAGCTCTGTATCATTTCTATTTTAAGTACTTTTATGTTCTTTAGATAATAATATAAAGAATTTTTTTAAAATCTCCCATCTGAAAAAACTGCGCATTTTCTAAATTCTCTTCTTTCCTTTTTATTATCACAGTGAAGTGGCATAAAGACAGAGAGTAACATCCCTGCCACTGTCCAAGTGCTGGCTGCCCTGAAATTTCCTCCATCTGAAGAACCATTCTAAACTTGTTAAGCTTCAACTCCCTCCAAGTCTCAGGTTGAACAAAGAAAGCCAAAGCTTTGAGGTGATGTAACGTGGATGCCCTGTTGTCAGTTGCCAGAGAATCCTGTTGGCTTCAGACCCTTTGTGAGCACACCTTTACCATCCTCAGCAGCACTCTGATCTTTGCACCAGAATTGCTCACCACGCTTACTAGGCACCAATCTCGGCCTCTGAGCCGAGCCTTCCAGACTTTTCCAAATCCCTCTCAATATTCAGCTCCATGGGTTCTAAGGGCCATCATCAAGTAGAGTCACACTAATCACTCTACATGTACGTGCCAGTTTGTGTCACTGAGGCATAACTCCCACTGTGTTGGGAGTGGCTAAAGCTGGGGAAGAATCACACACATGGAGCTGCAGCAAGGCAGGTCCTGAGAGCAAAGAGCATCCAAGGCAAGCCACAAGGCAAGCTGCTCCAGTTCCATGAATGTGTGGCACCCAGGATACCATACAGGCAGATTACTAGGCACTGGGGGTCACGTGACATCAACCTGCCAAATGTGTAAATGAATGCACTGTTCCCCAACCAGCTCCTTCCCAGAATTTTTGGCTTGACCATTGAAGACTGAAGCTGCTGGAGATCACCTTCAAGGCTCCCTCAAACATCTCAGATGCTGAATGTTCGATAGGTCTTATGGTGGAGGCTAAGTCCATTCATTTCCTGATTAATACAGGTGCCACCCATCCCACGCTTCCTTCTCTGCAAGGGCTAGTCTCTCCAGCCCTCACTACTTTTGTGGGCATTGGCAGCAATGTCTCCAGACCTTTAAATATGCCCCAATCTGGTATCACTTGAGTGGACACTTTTCCTATACATATTGCATTAATAATATCCCTTCATTATTGTGGGCTGATTAGGTGCACAGTGATTTCAGAGCTCTAGAGGTATTCAAAACCTCTCTAGAGATTTTCTGGGGTTTAAACCAAGGGTGTCTCTGGGTGGCCTGTATTTATTAGCTTTTCAAACAAAGGAGGCAGACACTGAAGAAGATGTTGAAATCTGAACAGGAGTTTGGAGTCCTTCTAAGGGCCTCTCGACTAATACATTATGTTAATTTAGGAGAACTATGTTGCCTTCAGGAAGGCCTTCACCAGTGAGATGCCTGCAGCTGCAGTCTTTGTCTAGCTAATTTAGGTTGGAACCAGGTGACCCCAGCTGTGGCCTTGTCTTTTCCTTTGAGGCCTTATGGCTTCACCCCCATTGCAGGTCTCAGTGGGCCCCGTAACTTACAGAGCTTAACTCGCTGTGAGTCTGCTGCCCTGGGACTGGGGCAGACTCACACGCAAACATGGAAAGCCGGTTGGCTAGCATTAAGTCCTGCTCAGAGCTGCTCCGCGGCTGTCTCCGTCATGCTCTCCTTAGTCATCCCCACCTGTCCCCGTCCCCTCTCAGGGAGACATTTTAACCAAACTTCAGCAACTCTGACCATCCCTGCGACACAACTGTCCTTCATAGCCGCCCTAATGACTCCTGCCCCTCATGGCTCCCATCATTTTACCTCATCTGAACTCCAAAGTCTAGGACACTTCCAACCCATCCCTGGCTTCATCCCAACAGTGGCTTTCTGTCCCTCTCAAACTTACCACCTTTACTTCATCCAACAAAAATATCCCATCCCTGACCAAACTTTATAGGAACTGAAACCTATTATTCCCTGCCTTTTGTTACATGGTTTCTTAATCTCTGTACAACACACCCATTTTCCTGGTAGGAAAGGCAAATGGCTCTTCTTGGCTGGCACAAGATCTCTGCACTATCAATCACATTGTCCTGCCCATACACTGTGTGGTGCAGAAGTTCTACACACTTTCATTCTCAACCCCTCTATCTACCACTCATTACTCTGTCTTAGATCTAAAGATGCTTTGCCTCTGTCCCCCTACACTGTTCCTCACAACCCTTTTTGCCTTTACCTGGACAGACCCTAATGTTCAGTCTTCCCAGC